TGACCAACCTAGACAGCATATTAAAATCAGAGACATTACTTTGCCAACAAAGATCCATCTAGTCAAAGCTATGGTTTTTCCAGTAGTCATGTATGGATGTGAGAGTTGGACTATAACCAAGCTGAGCACCGAAGAATTGATGCTTAGAACTGTGGTGTTGGAGAAGCCTCTTGAGAGTCCCTGGGACTGCTAGGAGATCCAACCAGTCAATCCTGAAGGAAATCAGTCCTGAATATTCACTGGGAAGCATTGATGCTAAAGCTGAAGCTCCAATAATTTGGTCACCTGATGTGAAGAACTGACTCATTGGAAAAGACCCTGATGCTGGGAAAGATTGAAGGCAGGAGGAGAAGGGGACAACAGATGATGAGATGATTGGATGGCATCACCAACTCAATGGACATGAGTTTGAGTAAGTTCCGGGAATTAGTGATGGACAGGGAAGCCTGGTGTGCTGCAGCCCATGGGGTCGCAAGAAGTTGGACATGACTGAGGGACTGAACTGAAAGCCCCATCCTCACCTCTTAGTATACTTCCTAGAGGGGGCACAGCGGTTGCCTCTGGAGGCAGGCAGGGCAGGGTCCGTGCCTTGGCTCTCTGGTGGGCAAGCCATCTCATTTCAGGCAAGAAGCTTACCAAACACTATTTCCCCACCCACTGGAAGGGGAATCATAATATTATTTGCATTGATCTGCTTCATAAGGTTATCATGAAGAATTGTAAATAAATGATGTGTAAAGCACTTAGCTCAGTGCCTAGAATACAGTCAGTTCCCAATAAAAGTTGGCTACTGTTATTTTCTTTTTGTTGTCTTAAATAATGTATCACCACCATTCACTGTTCCTCTCAGCAGCCTGTCAACAGCAGTGAAGAGCAGTTTCTAGCCATCAAGCTTCCTTCTTAGTCCCTCCTGCAGCCAGGGGACAAGGACGAGGGAAGTGAGGCAGGCAGATGCTGCTCTCACGCTGTATTTCGGGGACGAGGAGATGCACTTTTTAGCCCTAAGTCCCCAGTGACTCAGCGGTAAAGAATCTGCTTGCAATTCAGAAGACACAGGAGACACAAGTTCAATCCCTGGGTCGGAAAGATGCCCTGGAGGAGGAAATGGCAACCACTCCAGTGTTCTTGCCTGGAAAATCCCATGGACAGTGGAAGCTGGCAGGCTACAGTCCATGCAGTCACAGAGTTGGATATGACTGAACACACACACACGCACACGCACGTACCGTCCTTTACCACATGGGCGAGTACTCAGTTACTTAAAGCTCTAAAATGCAGGGATTCCTCGGAAACCTGACTTCAGGTTTCTGGTATTCCTGGGGATGGATTCAATGAAAGATAGTCACAGAACTTAGTTCTACTTCTGAACCCTGCCATCTGCAGTCCAGCTTCTCTGCTCAGATAATCCATGACTCTTGCTCTGTGAATCATTTGGGGCAGTGGTCCCCAACCTTTTTGGCACCAGGGACTGGTTTCGTGGAAGACAACTTTTCCATGGGCTAGGGCTGAGGGGATGGTTTCTGGATGATTCAAGTGCATTACCTTTCTTGTTCACTTCACTTCTATTGTTATTACATCAGCTCCACCTCAGATCATCAAGCGTTAGATCTCAAAAGTTGAGGATCCCTGATTTGGGAATTTTCTTACAGAACACAAAGCCATGAGAAATGTCCCTCTTTGGTTCGGGATTGGAAGTAAAAAGGATGAAGGGAGGGAGGATTAAGAGGATCCCTCTCTCTGCTCTGCTGTTGTGCTGACTTTGTCCACATTAATTTCTAGATCTGTGATCCAGGATGTGCCTGCCTGAGCCCACCCCAGTGAGGCCATAGGGATCCTCCCAGTCGTGACCACAGAGCGAGTCCCACTGTTGTTGTTGAGTTGCTAAGTCAAGTCCAACTCTTTTTGACCCCATGAACTGCAGCATGCCAGGCTCCCCTGACCCCCACTATCTCCTAGAGTTCACTCAAACTCATGTCCACTGATGACATCTAGCCATCTCATCCTCTGCTGCCCTCTTCTCCTCTTGCCTTCAAATCTTTCCCAATATCAAGCTCTTTTCTAGTGAGTTGGCTCTTTGCATAAGGTGGCCAAAGTACTGGAGCTTCAGCATCAGTCCTTCCAAAGAATATTCTGGGTTGATTTCCTTTAGGATGGACTGGTTTGATCTCCTTGCAGTCCAGGGGACTCTCACGGAGCACCATAATTCGAAAGCATTAATTCTTCAGCCCTCAGCCTTCATTATGATCCAAGTCTCACATCCGTACGTGACTACTGGAAGAACAATAGCTTTGACTATACTGACCTTTGCTGGCAAAGTGATGTCTCTGCTTTTTAATACGCTGTCTAGGTTTGTCATAGCTTTGACTAGTCCTGTATTGCTTTCCAGTTTCAACCCTGCCACAGGCTCATGGCTCCCTGTGACTCTGAATGTTTGCCTGGGAAACACCGAAAAGTATGAACTGAGTTTATAAAGCTGAGTATTTAAGAATAAATTTCAAGATGCTATTTTTCCAGCAGCCTATGAATCACTTCAACTCACTTGCAAACTGAACTGTCTGCCAGAGTAAATTCATTTTTGATGACCATGGAGAGAATGAAAGGCGTCATATATGGGGCTTTCCCCTCCTATGGTTATGGTCCTGCCCGGAGGGGTAAGAATGGGCAGCCATGTAACTTAAAGGTGCCAACTCCCATGAAATAAAAATGTATCTTGAGCATCAGACAGTGGACACAGCCTCTGGTTTTCAGAACTCTAAGGCATTTTATCAGACAACCTTATTCTGATCTTTCACCAGAAGTAGGAAGATGAATATTATAATTTTTAAAAAATATTTGATAGAGTTGCCCTGTGCCTTGATTGACCAAAGAACCATTTGTCTCACCACCTGGTAATAAAAAGAATGTCTGGAAGACATTTCCTCTGGATCAATGTTAAGTGAGGGAGTATATGCTGATATGGAAGGTAGTTGGTGAGTCCTTGACAGGTGGAGAGATTCATGTCAACAGCAAACGAGATTTGGGTCTCAGATGCACTGTTTTTATTTTATGGGAGTTTGCTGCCTTTTTGTGTCTCTGGGATTGTTTGCTGAATTGTGCCTCCTCAGCTCTCTCTGCTCAGTCTGCTGTGTTTTTTTTTATACCCTGATTTGGAACAGGGAAGCTGGGTCCGGCTAATGATGATGAAAGATACGTGGAAAAGGCAATCAGGCGCGAAGCCAGGATTTAGGTCATCCATTCTCGTGGATCAGCCCTGTGCAGCGACTTCCTCACATCTTAGGGGAGCCTCCCAGACTATGCCTGGGAATCATCTCGTGAAGTGCAGCACGTCATGCCACGGGAACTGCGGATAGCTGCAAGATGAACTGCAGCAGGACTGAGATACTGCCAGAATGCTCCTGTTCATTTGCTGCAATGATTGTACAAATGGTGCTGCCTTCCTTTTTCTAGCATGTTTTCTTTTAGCAATTCCAATAGGGCTGTGTTACTAAGAATTAATCCTGTTTGGGCCACCAGAGATCAAGCCTATCAGACTGACTTTAGTGAGTGATCAGTACATAAAGCCTACTTGAGACTTGAGTGTTGGAACTGTTCTGTGAGGTGGGATTTAAACATGGGCCCAGAAGAGCTTCCCAGATGGCATTGGTGGTAAAGACTCCACCTGCCAATGAAGGAGATGCAAGAGATCCAGGTTCAATCTCTGGGTTGGGAAGATCCCCTGGAGGAAGAAATGGCAACCCCCTCCAGTATTTTTGCCTGAAGAATCCCATGGATAGAGAAGCCTGGCAGGCTACAGTCCATGGAGTCACAAAGAGTCTGAAACAACTGTGTAAATGAGTCAGAAGGGAAGCGAGGTATTAAGTATGAGATCAAAACAGGTCCCAGTCTATGCTAAATACAAGGCAGTTGCTTCCAGCTTCCCTCCTGGCCCCAAAGAACATCTTGGCTGAGGCTGATCGAGTTCCAAACAGATGAGAGGGTAGAAAGCAACTCCAGTTGGAGTTTGAATTAACGCCAACCTTCATGCCTCACTGTTCTGCAGTGTGAACCAGGTTTAAGTGTGAACAATGAGAAGGCACATCCTGTATTTGGTGCCCAAGGATCAGTTACAAATTATCTTATTGAATTTTAGATTTTTTTTTTTTACTCCCTGGGCCATCAGCCTTCCTGCATTGCAGACCCAGAGCAGAGAGCACTTTGGGAGGGGGAGGGGAGGCCCTGGATCTTCCTGGGCAGGCAGAAGCATCCTGTAAGCTTGGCGGTTGGAGGCTGGGTTAGATGTCCATCCGTTGCTCAACATCACTGAAAGCTCTGTCCTTGGCAGCAGTACGAGGGTGCAGCAGGACACTAGGTGTGTGTGCATGTGTGTACTTCCTGATGTAGTGTGTGTGTGTATACACCTATGACACAGGGCTTGACACACACAAAATGCTGGTGGTCTGCGATGCTGTTCCAGAGGATGGGCACTGTCTTTCTCTCATCTTTGAACATCCCAGTGGCTAACACAGTGCTTTTCCTAAAGGAGTCACAGAGATGAAACCAACATGTAAGAAAGAAGCCAAGGGACTTCTCCGGTGGTCCAGTGGTTAGATTTTACCCTCCACTGCAGGGGGTGCAGGTTCAATCCCTGGTTGGGGAGCTAAGATCTGGCATGCCTGGTAACAAAAAAGTCAAAACATGAAACTGAAGTAATACTGTAACAAACTCAGTAAAGACTGAAAATGGTCCACATTAAAAAAAAAATTCTTAAAAAAAAGGAGAGAAGGATGCTCAAAGTTATAGCCCTGAGTTCACTTTTTGGCAAAATACAGCCTCTGTGCCACCCTCAAATCCGTACATGACTACTTGAAAAACCATAGCTTTGACTAGATGGACCTTTGCTGGCAAAGTGATATCTCTGCTTTTTAATATGCTGTCTAGGTTTGTCACAGCTTTTCTTCCAAGGAGCAAGAGTCTTTTAATTTCAATTATTTAACTCAGTTATTAACAGTGGCTCTTCCCACATGTCAATATGCAACCCCGGAAAAAAACAAACAAACATACATCCCAGTCTTAGTCCTCTCTCCCCTAGCCCAGGGGAAAGTCTTTGGGATTCAAGAAGAAGATGTGCAAAAAAGAGGCCCCCAATGCAGCTGGTGCTAGAGACCTGGGTCAGGCTGAGTCATGAGGAATGTCAAGTTGATGCTCAGAAAGGCCCGCCTCTTTCTACTCGGCAGCTTCATGGTGACCGTGGCTCATATGTCGACGTCTCAAGTCCTGCTCTGGGGGTGAGGACACAGACAGGCTGTTCACAGGCAGACACGTGGTCGATCTTTGCCAACAGTCTGGGGTCCTGGTCACAGGAGAAGAGTCTTGGGGGAGATCCTAAATTTCTCCTCCATCATCATTTTGTTTGGATTCAGTCTCCTTCTCACTGGTTTGACCCCAAGCGACAGTGACAAATGTCAACTCTCTCCCAAGAGGAAGGGAGCTACATTTCAGTGTTTTGGATGAAGCTTAGTTTGCATTTGCATCAGGAGGGAGAATGACATATCCAGGGACACCTGCTCCAAGATATTCATAAGACTGTTGATGGTAGGTTTTTCTTTCTTTTTTTTTTAAGGAAACATTCCTGTTTCAATTTTTATCCTGCCCACATCAAAACAGCAATGATGAACACACTGGAGTTAACTGTCACCATATTAGCGTGGAATCATTTATCATGTTATCAGTAAGCATACCCCTGACACTGGGAATGGTACGTTCCATCCTGATTAAGGCAAGCTCAGAGGTGGGGGTGGGGTGAGCAAGAAGATGACCATTTGTGGCCTGGAAAAGATGAGCACCCTAGAAATAAGATTGTAGGAAGAGGTTACGTGTCTTCATTTTGCTGAGTTTTTCTTTTTCTCCCCCAAAGAGAATACTTACATCCATGGTATTTCTGCCTCAAGATGCATTTAATTTCTGGCTAATTGAGTCAGATTACAAATCAAATCTGTTTAATGTAAACAGAAACCCAGTTAGGCTTCAACCTTCCACCTGAGTCACTCTGCTAATTAAATTCCTGATTTATCAGCTTCTCTCTCTCTCTCTCTCTCTCTGTCTCTCTCTCATTTCAGATTGCCTGTGGTCAGTTCACCCTCATGATTTCCCAAGACGGAAGCGAGCTAGATGGATAGCCCCCCAACATCTGGCAGCCCTTGATGCTCCAGTTTGAGGGATCAATTCACTCTAACTTGATCAGCACCATGGCCAACACAGCCCCACCCAGTGAGAAATGCTTCAGCACATGATAAACTCCTTGTCATATTTTGCAATGTGAGTTTACTGTTGAAATACCCTCTCCAGATTATGAAGCATTGATTCTAACATTAAAAAGACCCAGTGAGTTGGGTAAAACTGGTGCTATTATGATTATTGCTGGAGGTGAGAGAGACTAAAGGAGCCTGTTCAGTGTCACAAAGCTAGTAAGTGGGAAAGCCACGAATATGGATATGATGGTCTTTTCATTCAAGGTGTCATGGTTTGGGACTTTTTCTTTTTAACTACATCACTAAAAAGATCAAATCTCACTAGCACTAATTGTGAATCTTAAGAGAATCTGATTTTATAGGTAATAATCTGAACCTAAATAATGGATGGAGAGAGCATCTGAATGGCTGGTGGAGTCATCTTGGGTTTCACGGCTTTCTGCCAAGTCCATCTTGCTTCCGGTATCTCACCACAGTGGACAGCTGAGGGCACTGTGTACGTTCCTCAGTATTTCTCTGGAGGCCCAATTGAAATGCAAATGTTTTTACTGGGATCCTGGGAAGGGGACCTAACCAAAACACACCTATTGGCTACCACTGTAGATGGAGCAAGACTGAGAGACCATAGGGAAGGCAGGACTCAGTGGGGATGGAGAGATTTGAAGACAGACCCTGTTCACCAGCTTCTCATGCAGGAAGTCTTGGTTAGACTGAGGGTTGCCCAGTGCAATATCCCAACAGCCCAGCCTTGACCTGGGGAGGGGACCAAGGACAAGGCAGAGAAGGACAATCGTCATCAAAATCACCCCTGCTGCCCAACAATTTTTTCTTGAACTGGCAGGATTTTTGCAGGGTCTCATTTCTTTTTAAGGACAAATTCTCATCAATTTCAGGAACAGAAGTTCAGGATAACAGTATTTTTGTTCAATGTATATCTCTCTTTCCAGTGACTGACATGTCCTCTTTTAACACTAATTAGAAACCAAATTGAATGAAATACTTGACTTTGACATATTGTAGTTATTTTAAAAGACTTTTCAACTCCAGCACCCAAAACACAAAACCAGTTATCCAAAAGGCTATTAGCATGGTCCTTCCACCACCTTGTGGGCACAAGGAAAGGCTAAATTAATCAAAATTGTAATTGTGCTGCAAATCAATTACTATTTAGGATTATTCCTACTGAACCTGGGGAAGCCCTAATGGCTCAAGAGGCAAAGAATCTGCCTGCCAATGCAGGAGATGTAAGAAATTCGGGTTTGATCCCTGGGTCAGGAAGATACCCTGGAGGAGGACATAGCAACCCGCTCCAGTATTCTTGCCTGGAGAATCCCAGAGGATAGAGTCTGGTAGGCTACAGTCCATGGGGTCACAAAGAGATGGACATGACTGAGCATGCATACAACAATGCAACTACTGAACTTGACCACTATTCTACATATCCACTATTCATATCCACTAAACTACAATCTTAACTGTTTTAATTTTTTTGCAAAAATAAGCCCTGGCTTATAAGATACTCTCTCATACATGCTCGTGTGTATGCGCACACACACATCCTGGGCTATTAGCCGAAAGAGGATCATCTCCCTCATTTTCTCAAATAGCGTATATCATTCGCATGGAGCCAAAGCATAATTTGAATGAAATAGAATGCAATTTTCCTTAGCTTCAAATGAGTTGTAGTGGGAGATAATAATGCTTTCTGTTTTTTCTTATCCGATAAAGATCAGCATTTAGATCTTTAAGAAAGTCTCCTGAAGTGTTTCAGATTTAAATGCATTGTCTTTAATGCAGTTTCTAAATCTTAACTACCTCTGATTCTTTTAACTGCTCAGAAAGACATACCAAGATGTTCACATCTCCTGATCTAACTGAAATCAAGCCCATAGGCATCAGTAAAAGTCAGGATGCTGCCTGACCTTCTGGAAAGTCTCCCTGGGCCTCTAGTTCTCCATGCTGGAATTGCATCCCTCCAAACAAAAATTTTTAAAAATTAAAATTTCAATCGAATCAAGTATCTTTTGAGAGAGATAAGGAGAGGGAACACTTGGGTCCAAGTTTTAGGTAAACCATCCTTTATGAGTAGATATAATTTTACAGTGGACTGGAATAGTGTTTTACTTGCTCCTGTGATCTAGTTTGGGCTTCCTGGATAGCTCAGATGGTAAGGAATCCACCTGCAATGCAGGAGACCTGGGTTTGACCCCTAGGTCAGTAAGATCCCCAAGAAAGAAATGGCTAGAAAACTCAAAAAGCTTTGGAGAAGAATAAGCAGAGACATTCTAAATTAAGTTGCATGAAATATTTTTCGCACTTTCTACTTGAGAGTCTATGTCTGTACTTCATTGTCTTTCATATTATTTATAGAGGTGCAAACAACCGTTTGATATCTCAAGTGTATTCAGAGACAGCTGGATGGTTCAAAATTTCAGTTGCTGTTTTCTTAACCAAGTAATGTTGCATTCTATGCCTCTCAATTTCCTCATCTCATAGATTCTGGTCAGTTCTCAAGTTCCTATTTCATTTGTACTCATAAATCTGTAATTTTTGGCTTTTTCCTCATTGGGAAAGTTATTCATGTCTTACCTGTACTAATAAACTACAGAATACCTGTTCTGAGCCTGGTATTTCTTCAGACTGCTGATTTGTCTAACAGCAAAAAATGACATTACAGATACTTCTTTAGCAAATGAGAATGATCCTCTCTAAGATTACAGGTTCAGTGGGGCCTGAGCCTCAGAATAATCTCTTTTATTAGAAGTTTTAGGTTTCTTTAAATAAAATTAAAATGTCATTAGGCAGAAGTGTTTAGCTCCAAGGCCATAGGAAACAATTTGTTATCTCTTGTCTTCTTTTGAATGCTTTTGCTTCTACAATGCCTCTCTGACCCCAGTGGCTTAGTCAAACATATGTTGGCAGCCATCTGCACAGTGGCCCCAAACGTGAGCCTCAAGGGGAAGAAAGCCATGTTTGGAAGATAACTCATCTAGACTTTACATGTTTCAGAGCTACTAAATCACAAACCTCTGGGGATGGGGTATGGAAAGGGGAAGAGGCCAGGGATTGGTAGTTTACACAAAACTTCCTGATGCATTTCTTTCTTTTCAAGATACTTTCATTTTATTAATTCTTCGTTTAACTTGTGCAAAGATGTATTCATGAATTCTTTTGTATACCTCTCCCCAGGTCAGGAAGATCCCCTGGAGAAGGGAATGGCAACCCACTCCAGTATTCTTGCTTGGTTAATCCCATAGACAGAGGAACCTGTCAGGCTACAGTCCACGTGGTCGCAGAGTCAGACATGACTGAGTGACTAACATGCCTCATACTTTTTTAGTCTTTGTTGAGTTTTTACAGTATTGCTTTCATTTTATGTTTTGGTTTTTTGGCTTCGAGGCATGTTGGATCTTATCTCCTGGACCAGGGATGGAGGCAGCATCCCATGCATTGTAAGGCGAAATTTTAAACACTGGTCCACCAGGGAAGTACCTCCAGGTGCATTGCTAATGAAAGTCTGCAGAAGGCTATGCTGCTGGTTAGAGGACCACACCTTGAGAGTCAGTGGACCAATGGATGGTGTTAAGTTTTCTGAGGAAGCTGCAAATGCAGATGAAGGATTTACCGACATTTTATGTCTATGTCAACCAAAATGGAATGATAAGGAAAGCTACCTTCAGATGATATATTTTGTGTTGTTGAAACCGGTCTCTGTTGGAAACAAATGTCTTCAAAGACCTATATCTTGAGGGAAGAAACTGGAGCCCTAGAATATAAGAATGCTATGATGTCTGTACTGTGAATTTAGATACAAATGCCAGGGGAGATTAAACTGTGCCAGTATTTTAATAAGGGTTGCTGTTATTTTTGTCACTTCTCGGATTATAAATTTTATGTGTAGTCCATTGAACCCTATTTTTGCCCTGAGTCCTCTGGCTTTTATCATGTGATTTTGCAGAAACTGAAGATTTTCAGGAATACAAATATGGCAATTAGATACAGTAGATAATAAAATAAGTAAAACTAATAAAATGATAATACAGAGTAGTATTAGAATACAGCCTCATTAGATCTATTAATATAGGAAAAAGTTCTTACCAAATCTTGTGATAATGACCCAAAAGTAGAAGATGAAGAAGAAATGGCAGATGTGGGTGGAATTAATGAAAATGGAGGTGGTGCGAGTTAGATGAACACTTCTTGCAAAACTGAGTTAAACGTTTTCCCTGAATTCATCAAAACATCATCACCAGCCGCTAAGCTAGACATATCTTCAGTGCCGAAACTTGAGAGATTAAGTTTGGGGACAGAATACCTTCAGCCCTTGGCCTCTCCTTAAATTAAACAAGCCTGCTCTCCTCGACCATGCTTTGAGCATCATTCATCTCTCCAAATGCTTTCCTCCGGGGCTCTCTGATCAACCCTTGTCCTGACAACCATTCACCATGTGTTCACAGGAGACACCTGTTTGTCCTCTATGAAAATGGCTCAGAGGGAGGCACTCCTGGGAGTCTAGGAGGAGAAAGCCAAGGATCAGCAGCTCTGGTGGCAGACGAGAAAAGGGTCCACAGGAAAATGGTCCCAGAGGAGTATCAGGATTTACAGTCTTGTCCCCCGGGTCCTCACATAGCCACGCATCTCCCTTCATGAATGAATGAAGCAAAGACGTAGCCCCTAACGCTAAAGTTAGAGGAGAAAGAGATGGTCGTCATCACTCATCTGTGTGGCCTGAATACCAGCTTTTCTAGGTTCTCCAGCCTATCACACGGGAATGGGGGTGGGGGCAGATTTACAGGAAGCCAGTCTCCGACGGTCACTAGCCCACCAGCAGTTTACGCTGTCATCCACACGGAGCTCTATGGAGGATTTATTCTTGGACCGAGATGTAAGACGATGCTAATATTTTAATCCTATGTAAGCTTTCAGCAGCTGATTTGGCTAAATCAGACAATGTGGAAAATGAGTGCAAACTTGCTGAAAATGCGTTTCTCAAAGGAGCGAAGGTGGAGGAATTAAAGACAGAAATCTGGTGAACCGCTGTCTGTAAAGTTGTTAGAACAGAACTGACTAGTTCAATTGACCAGAAATCGCAATTCTAAATGATGAAGTGAGGCTCTTTGTGCAAATCTTACCCCACCCCTCACCTCCAACAATGGCTTTTATTAAAAAGCCTGCAGTCCCGTGCTGGTGGAGAGGTTCTCCTAAGTCTGGAGAGAAGGAGTAGATGGAGTTCTGACTTCAAGTGTTCATTTTAAGTATTCCAGTCCCCATGGTGATGACAGCCAATAGGTCATTAGTGAAGTCGCTCAGTCGTGTCGACTCTCTGTGACCCCATGGAATATCGCCTACCAGGCTCCTCGGTCCACGGAATTTTCCAGGCAAGAATACTGGAGTGGGTTGCCATATTAGATGGATGTAAACTGTGGGATGCCCTTTCTTAGTGGTTCAGTGGCAAAAAAAATCCACCTTTCTTGGTCAGGAAGATCCCCTGGAGGAGGAAACCGCAACCCACCCCAGTAGTCTTGCCTGGAGAAGCCCACGGACAGAGGAGCCTGGCAGACTACAGTCCATTGGGCAGCAAAGCGTCAGACACGACTTAGTGACTGAGCATGCACGCATGTGGGACAGCTATCTGAATTCACAGTTGACCTTGAGAAATGCAAGGTTATGTGAGTTACAAATACAGCTCCCTATCTGTTGTCATCGTAATCATTAGCTATCAAAGTAACCAAGGTCAGGCCACTTAGTTTAG